TTATTGTTGAATTAGAGATATTTACAATTAACAATATTACTCGGACAGTCACAATTGTATTAAGCACTTATTTATTGTTGAATTAGAGATATTTACAATTAACAATATTACTCGGACAGTCACAATTGTATTAAGCACTTATTTATTGTTGAATTAGAGATATTTACAATTAACAATATTACTCGGACAGTCACATTTGTATTAAGCACTTATTTATTGTTGAATTAGAGATATTTACAATTAACAATATTACTCGGATAGTCACAATTGTATTAAACAGAATTATTTCTATTTTCATTTGAAGAATATTTATATATATTCGGAATCAGCTTGCTTATCGTTCTTCAACCAAAAAACATGTTCAACTATAAGCTCACAACATGTACACGTGTATTTATGGCTTACAAGTATTGGCTAGAATGTGAACTTAAGTTTGTTTTTTTTTTACTTACAACACCAGAAGTTTCCAGATATTGGTGGGTGTGTTATGAACAACATCTAAAATTGTTCAGTTTCATACTTTCACTTCCCATGTAATTATTTACACCAGTGAAACTAACATCCAAAGTATATCCTAGCTTGAAACAAATAGGTAAATAATAGAAGTATTTCTCCAAACATTATGTAACAGCTTAACGTATTTGTTTGTTAATCATAGCCAGTGTATTGCAGTAATCTATGTAGAAACACTGGAATAAGGAAAGTAAAATATTTATTATATATATAAACTAAGCAAGTAAAATTTTACAAGGTGTTGAAACTTGTCTTACAACAAAATTTGAGTATTTTTAAAATACACGTGCAGAAAAGACAAATTATTATTTTATGTATCAAGAAAATCTTGAGTAACTGCTTCTCGTCAAGTTGATGTGTCAAATAATTACTACTGTATGTTTGAAAAGGAATGCGTTAAACACACTAAAAAGGTTGTTTATCCAGCTAAGTAAGGACTTAGAACGCAAAAAATCTGGAGTTCGATTCCCCGTGGAGGACAAAGCTCATTGTGTGGCTTTACACTAAAAAAACAACTAAGAAAATTCTGGAGAAGCATCGCAAAGTAGAATATCAACACAAGTTGATTACAGCTCCCCAGGTAGAATATCAACACAAGTTGATTCTAGCTTTGCCAGGTAGAATATCAACACAAGTTGATTCTAGCTTTGCCAGGTAGAATATCAACACAAGTTGATTCTAGCTTTGCCAGGTAGAATATCAACACAAGTTGATTCTAGCTTTGCCAGGTAGAATATCAACACAAGTTGATTCTAGCTTTGCCAGGTAGAATATCAACATTACTATGTTAATTATTAAGATATAAAAGATATAACCATTTTTTTTTTCAGAATTTGTGGTGCATACTGGAGAGACTTGGAGATTTTGACAATAAACTTAAAGAAAAACAAATGACCTTTATTCTCTAGATAATAAAATAAAACATTTTTCTTTTAACTAACAGTTTCGCCCTGATGAAACGGCAATGAATGGAGGAGGATCGTTGGCTGAAATAAAAAGTTTTTATTATTATCTGGAGAGTAAAGGTAGTTTATTGCCACGTAAAATCCCTTCAACAACGTAACGAATTTCTTGATTAAATAAAAGTTTTTAGTCTTAATTATGAATGTGTTTAAATGGAATTTAATTCGTCTGCATGAGTAACTTGGTAAAACCCTGAAATTTGTAAATTCAATAGAACCGAGTGCGAGTAACTGGTGTAATATTACTCTGCATCTATCTTTTTTTATAACCTCTAAGTTGGACAGGAATCTATTTTTTTAATTTCGATGTCACTTTCTTAAGTCAAGTTCCTGGTTAAAGTTATTGATTAATACAGATTATATTTACAATATTGTTTTAAACAAATTCTGACTGGCTACTTCTTAATCCTAATACCTATTTTTCCTGGATAAAAATTTCTCCGTTAACTTTCTCTTCGGGTAAAATAGAATATATTGGGCTAATGAAGCCACTTATAAAATCTTACAGATATCTGACTATTGTAATACCAGTGTGTAACTTGGGGTGTAATATCTTACAGATATCTGACAGTATAAACGGTATTGTAATATCAGTGTGGATTTGGGTTGTAATATCTTACAGATATCTGACGGTGTAGACAGTATTGTAATATCATTGTGTAACATGGGTTGTAATATATCACAGTGTAAACGGTATTGTAATATTAGTGTATAACATGGGTTGTAATATATTACAGATATCTGACAGTGTAAACGGTATTGTAATATTAGTGTATAACATGGGTTGTAATATATTACAGATATCTGACAGTGTAAACGGTATTGTAATATTAGTGTGTAACATGGGTTGTAATATATTACAGATATCTGACGGTGTAAACTGTATTGTAATACCAGCGTGTAACTTGGGTTGTATTATTTTAAATATATCAGCCTGTAACTCGGGTTGTAATATATTACAGATATCTGACAGTGTAAACGGTATTGTAATATCAGTGTGTAACTTGGGTTGTAATATATTACAGATATCTGACGGTGTAAACGGTATTGTAACATCAGCCTGTAACACGGGTTGTAATATCTTATAGATATCTGACGGTGTAAACGGTATTGTAATATCAGCCTGTAACTCGGGTTGTAATATCGTACAGATATCTGACGGTGTAAACGGTATTGTAACATCAGCCTGTAACTCGGGTTGTAATATCGTACAGATATCTGACGGTGTAAACGGTATTGTAACATCAGCCTGTAACTCGGGTTGTAATATCTTACCCTTTTTATATCATTTATGTCTATGATCTTATTTTAAGAACACGAGTTGTTAATTTGTTTTTACGAATACGTGTGTGAAATAGGAGATGTGGTATCTTTATATCAAAAACGACCTTGTGATTTACTTTAACGTGTTTATTTTCCAGACACTTCCTAAGTAATCTTTAAATTGGATCATCCGTTATCCAAGATATTTCGAACTAATCCCTGCACATTTTCTCTTTCAACGTGTACTCTAGAGAGCAGGTTCATTTGATTTTAGTCCTGATAAGTACATCATTATGTGTATCGTTAGATATGTCTTGAAAGAGAGTAACTTATTATTATAATAACATAAGCATTCACACAGCTAAAACTCATTTTGTAGCTCATACTGAAACTCGTGTAATCTTGCGTCTAGTTATCTGGAGTTTTCATAAATGTATTGGACTGGGATATAGCTGATATATAGTCAAGCA